GACCAATGCCTATGCCAATGCAAAGACCAATGCCTATGCCAATGCAACGGCCAATGCCTATGCCAATGCAAAGACCAATGCCTATGCCAATGCAAAGACCAATGCAGAGGCCAATGCCTATGCCTATGCAAGGGCCAATGCCATTTCAATTTCCTCTGCCTTGTGTTCCTTCTGCTACAAAACGATGCCCACCAAAAGTTAATTCCAAAAAGAAAAAGACCCAAAAGAGGCCAAAGATGGTTCATCTTTTAGGTGCTCCAATCCCTGGCCCTCCGCCAATGACGTATATACTGCCACCACCACCACCACCCCCAATGATGCCTATGAGGGGTCAGCCGTGTATTCCAAGACCTCTTGCACCCTGTCCTCCTCTTGGAAGAGGACATCCCATGCCTATGTCGATGCGGCCACCTTTTCCTATGCCTATGCCAAGACAAATGCCTATGTCAATGGGAATGCCTTGGCAACAACCCTTGCCCATGACAAAGCATCAACCAATGTCTAAGAAAAAGCATAAAACAAATAAAAAATCAAAGAAAGGGCCTGTTTCAAGAAGACCATCTTTCCCATATTCGGGACAAATGCAAAACGCAATGGCACCATTGCACGGAAATCCTTGCGTACCGACCCTATTTAACAACTGCCCTCCGGTTGGCAAACCTATCATGATTCCACCAAGTCCATTTATGCCTATGCAATATGGGCATCCATTTGCTGGACTACGCCCAATAACTCCAAAACCAGCCTCTCCAATAGTGGTGCGATTACCAAATATCGTTCTGAATTATCCAGTTAACCAAGGGTCGCATAAAAAACGTGTAACTCACAAAGCAAAGACCAAAATACCAAACCAAAACCGTCATCCTGGCAGCATGCCTTATGGAATGGCTATGCCAATGCAATATCCATTGCCAATGGGAATGCAACAACCAATGGGAATGCAACRACAAATGGGAATGCAATATCCAATGCCGATGAGAATGCAACAACCAATGGGAATGAACTTCCCACGACCAGCAAATCCCTTTTCTCCATACATCAACCCTAAAAGCTGTGCGTTACCATGCATCAAGCCCCAAGGTCTCTTCTGCCCAAGTTACTGCCCGAAATCCTGCTGTGGTCGTGGGAAAGGACAACTACGAGGAAAAAAGAGGAACAGAATCCCAAACACGAAAACCCTCTAGGACTTATCTAAGTATTTAACTGCACAATCATGATAATAATAATAACAATAATAATAATAATAATAATAATAATGATGATGATAATAAATACGAAAAAGCTATGCTCTGATCATGCTTCTCGCGGAACACGCGCAGAATAGTCTTCAAGATGGAATAGCCTTTGTTTGACGTCAATCAAGGCGTTTCTATGACAATCCACAAGCAAAGCAAAGGTCATTGAAGGCACTTTGCTTGAGGTCCACCAAAACCCTATACTGTCGCGATAACAATTTATACGATTTCGCGCGTGTGACACGATGGAAACCTTCGATGCATCCGTATAATATTAATTTAATTACGCAAAGGGAATTTTTATGATTAAATATATACATATAACTTTCTAAGGAAAACAATTCTTCAAAATCATGTTTTTATTTGTACTTAAACGTGGCTTTATTAAAGAAAGTTATAAAATAATTGGGATACTACGCGCGCTAGGATTGGTCGAAAACCATGTTTGATGAGAGTATCAAAACACGCTATCGTCATTTTTAATCTATCGCGCGCGCTCATTGGTCAGTTTGRATAAGACGGCACGTABGGAGAATTTACTTAGACTTTGCTTTTTTTCGATCTTTTCGCGCGTTTGTTATTTTATAAAACAAATCAAAAACAGTTTTCTGTGTTTGATACTCTGATCAAAACACTTGGGATGTTGGGAGAACACTCGAGAAGCTGGAAACCACTCCGCTACGCGTCGTGGTTTCCTACGCTCCTCTCGTGTTCTCCCAACATCCCGCGTGTTTTGATCAGAGTATCAAACACGGAAAACTGTTTTTGATCTGTTAACTAAAGTTTAGCGTATATCAGACAATTCATAGATAATAGTCTTGGATGCTCAGTACGGATAAAAAGATCACTCGACGTCGACATAATGAATAAAAAGCCTACTAATAACTTGCAAGCATAATACTTCTAAAAGATGTATGAAAGAATTTGTAATTTATAACTAGCTGCACATGATATATCGCCCAACATTTTGTTAAAGTAACTATAACGCTTAACTAAATATCTTCAGTATTAATTCTAAATAAAGGGAATAGTTGAATGGTAAAAATGAGTCATGAGTTGAGTGATGCATCTTGAAGATATTAAGGTTGGTACTTCCAATATGCTAATGAGTGTGATGTCACTATAGGAATTTGAGTTTATTTGTCATCATTTGTAAATTGAAACACTTATTATTATGAGAAAACATAATGAAGTTTTATAAAGGATATTTTACTGCCCCAGAAAGGTTTTGTAAATTTAGGCATGCCTATAATGAACTCATTAACATATAGGAAGTATAAACCTTGATATCCGGCTTCAAGATGAACACTCAAATTATGATTTTTTTTACCACTCAACTATTCACTTCATGTATAATCAATACTGAAAATATCGAGTTAGGTAGTATGAGCACTTTAAGCCTTAAATCCACAAAATCTATATTATAGCTGTATTTAATTACCAACAACAATGTAATGCTATCTTTTTCCTATTGATGTCATACATACGTGTACGTATTAATCAGCTCGAATGTTAGCGATTTTCTTTCATAATAAAAGGCCAACTAAACTGCTGTGATGTTTTCTAAGTCTGCAATAATTTGATATCAAACGAATATTCCACTAGATAAAGAAGTTTTTAAGATAGAGGGGAAGAGAAAAATGCGTCATGTAATTATAAAGCACATTGCTGTCTTTACGTCCACACAACACTTGAGCCCCTAAATACACATAGCCATGGATAAGGTAGTCTTCCTCGCATCCGTTTTTAGTGTCGGTCGTCGCGCAACGCTCCCTAAAAACCGATGCGAGGGAGACTATGGATAAGGCGCCAATTTACTAAATATAATACCTTTCAATCCCCCCACCTGCATGGACCTTATMGCAAAGACTTCTCCTAAGCTATATGCACACAATTGCCCATTGTCCTATATGGAGTCAGTTAATAATATGCTCTAATTTGAAGAAAGCTTTGTGTGAACCAAGTACTAATGTTAAAAGACAGAAGGATGCAGAGAAAGCATGAGAAATATCGAGTTTAAGGTCACCTAGAATCCAACAAGAAACGTCTCTCAGTTTATTAGAGAAAGAGCCTCTTATACAGTGTATACAAAATACAGTGCTTCTCTCAGTTTATTAGAGAAAGAGCCTCTTATACAGTGTATACAAAATACAGTGCTAGGTATCGAATACCAGTTGAACAATTTGAAATGACAACTAAACGTTTGGGAAGATATTTTTCCTAACTTTCTAAGTTTCATAAGTCCGGCAAAAAAATGACCTTTTTGAGAATTTCCAAATCCAAAAATCAGGAAAGTAATTCTAACGGACTTGGATCCTTGGGCTTCGAAAGACAAGTAGCCTATTGGATCTTGAGAGCGAATATGAGACATACATATGATAATGAATGAAAGAATAACGGAAGGTAAAAGAGAATTAAAAAACTCAGAACAAACCTGAGTTTCATATGAAATTTGAACCATCATCTGGAACTCATTTTTCTTTAGAGTTCTTTCTCTTTAACCTCGTATTCTTTCATTCACTATTAAATTTGTTTCACCATTCAATTACTAAATATAACAAAAGTACCTGTTTACTGAACCAAACAGTGCGCAATTTGTTCCAATCAGACGTAGAGTTTAAATGTTGTTTTTTTATACAAAAATACAAAGATAACTCAGCGTGAGGTTGTTAAATTGCAAACTACCGGAACAAAGTTAAACCTAGGGGAAAAAGGGAAAGCAAAACTATTGGCAAAATCATGAATGACAACAAAATGGGAGTGTCTTAGTTTTTATTGCAAAGCTTGGGTTTCATGTCGTGAACATTTTCACATTAGTTTAGTCGAGATGTCATTAACACATTAACAAGGAAAAGTTGACACAATATTTTTGTTGGTGAATGCTTTTATGAATAAATAAAACAGAGAGGGAAAAATCACCAAACAAAAAGGAAGCTACAATATACAAATATAAGCGATTACCATGTCGTCTTTAGGAAACTTTGTATAAATTTTGAAAACATGACAACTTCAAGAACGTCTTAAAAATATATACCTTATAAGCGTTTTAGTTAAAGCAAGTGTCCATGTATGTTTAGTTTCAAAACAAAGCTATGAGATAAGCCAACAACTAGTTGATACTCGTCTTTGGTTCGTTGGTTCGCCAAACAAAGTGTGACTTATCCAAAGAAAAATTCAAAAGTGGATGTGATCATTGTGATCAACTAAACTTGGTCCTAAGAATCATCACCATATGTTTTGGGAGCGCCACAGACGGAGCGGTAGGGGCCAACATATTATAACATAACCTTGGCTATAGGTGAGTGCAAAATAGTATATTATGTTCCATATTTTAGGAGAATTTTGATAATGTATATAGTGTATAGCGATGCCTTGCTCGAAAAAGTGTGTGTAGTTTGAAGGCATTTCCGAATTTCAGAGTTTCAAAGATGCGACTTTTCGCATCGGCAAATGGACAGATATCTTAATATATATACGTGAACTTATTAAATGAGAACTGAAGTGAGTCTATATACATACATATATATGAGAATGTTCAAGTTTATTTTATGATTGTAATAGATTGTTTTAAGGTCTACGGTAATGTAAAGTGAAATGACCGTGTTATATATGAATGGCATCATTGCACATTTACTTGTCGTACGACCTCATTAGTTTTTAACACAATTCTAACAATTCTCCTTAATGCTAACACATACAAAAGGCTTATAGTCTTTTAGTAGCCGTGTTCATTCAAAGACACTTCGTCAAAAAATTAAATTAAAATTTTATGTCAAACTTTATGATTTTTTTTTTTTTTTTTTTTTTTGTCTTCTTTTTTAATGTGGATGAATAGAGAATATTGATGTGGATGAA